GGTATGAGCATACCCACCCACTGCACACCTCAGAGCCATGTAGGGAAGGCCCAGTGGGCAGCACCAGGCTCAGGGTGCCACTTAGGCCTTGTTCCTGAGAGCAGCCGACCAGGATCCCCTGGCAGAGCTGCCTCTCATCACCAGCAACAGCAGGGCCCAAAGGCACGAGGCCAGATTACAGGCGATCTCACCCCCACAGTGGAGGCTGCTAAGCGCTTCTAAGCAGGGACGTGAGCAGATCAGATCTGTTCCTTGGAGACTCATCTCCCCAGCAGGCCATCAGCTGCACAGCAGGAACAAGAGGGAGGGCCAGAGAGGGGCTGCCCGGACCCCAGCCACAGGCAAGGAGGGGGGCCCCTGTGCAGGACATTGCCCTGACACATCAGACCCAGGACTGAGCAGCATCCCGTGGGCGTGAAAAGCCCCCATTGTGGTGGGGCCTCCAGGGGTACCAGGGAGCCTTGGACACTAGCAAGCAGAGCACACAGGCACTAGAACTCCGTGCCAAAGGCCAGCCCAGAAAGAAAGTTGGGGGCCTCACCTGGCCACAGCCCTCCCCAGGCCCCCTAGTGCAGCAGTGTGGAAGCAGCCCAGCACTGTCTGCTGTACACAGCTGGCAGGGGTCCCACAGACAGCTCTGTGGCTGCACGGAGAGCCTCTGTCGGTGCCACTCACACGGGCAGCAAGGAAAGGAGTTTTCTGAAATCTTCAATCCCTAAGAGAAGGATGCTGGGGTACCAGGCAGGGCCTGGGCTGGGCCAAGTCAGAGGCCCCAGGACAGGTAGCTCTTGGGGAACGGAAGCAAGAGTCCAGAGCAGGTCCTATCTGAAACCCTGTCAGGAGCACCGAGTTCAGCTGGAGGCAATGCACAGAGGAGGGGTCCAGCCCCTCCCTGGTGAGTAATGCCATGACATCCAGCCAGTGGGGTGACCTTGGGGGCCACTGCAGATAGGTGCCCGGGAGCCTGCACCCCCAAAAGCCTATATGGGGGTGGAGCAGCAGCAGGCCCGGCTTCAGGCGTGACAGCTGTCTCTGAACCACTTGCTCCACCTTCCCTAAGCCACCGCATCCTTTTGTTAAATGTTAAATTCTGCTAGGCCAAATTTCTCTCAAAACAATTAGGAGGCCCAAAAGAAGACCCCAGGGCTACTCCCACCAGGCCAGGAGTGGTCAGCAGGTGAGGCGGCCCAGGGCAGGACTCTTGGGGGCTTCGAACCATACCTGACCGGTAAGACCCCAGAGGCCTCCCCACAGGCTGGGAGTAAAGGGCTACTGTCCAGACACTCTGCCTCCACCCTCTCCAAGGACAATCTAGGGCCCCAGCCTGTGGCTGGACTCTGGGACCCCTGCCCTGTGGCCTACACTATCAGGGGAGAAGATGGCAGGACCCAAGGGCCTCTTCTGCCCCCACAGCAGCCATGTGCTAGGAGGACCCCAGACATCAGGATGTGGAGTGGCCCCGTAGGCCCAGGGCACAGGCACTGCCCTTCAGGAGTCTGGAATTCTAATCCCTGGAAACATATTAGTCAAAAGTTTAAAACATAAAAGACACCAGAGCTGGGGGTGGCTGCTGGCATGCACAAGGCCCTGGGTCCCATTCCCAGCACCACAACAGAAAAAATAAAAACAATGAACCAAAAAAACAAAAGAAGTGTTTCTGACAATGTGATAAATATCTAACACCACAAATGGAAAACTCAGGGAGCAGAAGCAGGAGGTCAGGCTCAGGCTGGTAAAACTGCCCTGAGAACACTCAGCGGGACGGGCCAGTCTGAAGCACGCAAAGCCCACAGGTTRTTGGTTTTCTGTCACCTTCTACAAGAGCAGTAAAACAAAAATCAAAAAGCCATCCACAAAGACTGGGTGTTAACTTCTTGTAATCAAAGAAAAAACTCCAGAGAAGACAGTAACAGCCCTTCAAGGAGAAAAACCTGGACAGAAGCAGCTGGAGGTGCAGGGGCTGGGGGCACCTGGGGGCAGGCTCTTCAGCCCTGAGGCCCCACCCAGGTTCTGAGTTATACAGAGGAAAGAAACACATGCAGCTCCCCAGGGAGCCTGGCTTCTCAGGAGAGGCAGCCTCAGGAGCAGAGGTCCTGCAACCTGATGGCCACAGGCGCCAACAGAAGGCCTCTGTCATGCCAGCCACTTCCCAGGGAAGAAACAGGCCACATCCCTTCCCAGGCTGACCACTTCATCCAGCAGTCAGCTGGCATGCAGCTGTGGCTGCCACATATCCACCCTGCCCAGCCCACCCTGGCAGGGGTCAGACTGCCCACCAGGTAGAAGGCAGGACATCCAGAGCTGCCTGCCAGCTAGAATGACCCATGTGACACCTGAGATACACTTACAGTAGGGCATGGTTGCTGCACCTACACAGGCCCCTCGACATGGAGGTCCACAAGAGAAGACCCAGGGCAAGCCCCGTCCCTGACTTGGTCCCTGCCAGCTGCTCCCCTAGGCCACAGCAGGCTGCCCAGAAGGCCAAAGCCCAGGCAGCAATGGACGCAACTGAGGCCTAGCTCAGGGATGGGGGATGCAGCTTCCTCCCCACTAGGAGGACTCAGGCACCCAGCAAGCAGCACAGGGCAAGGCCCCGCTGACACCCAGGGGGGGTACCAGGGGTCCTGTCCAGAAACCTGGGGTCCATGTGATTGCCTCTACAGGGGCCAACAAGTGGAAGGGGAGCCCACAGACATGCCTGCTGAGCACAGCCTCATGGCAGGCCCCAGAGGCTGGGCAGCTCCCACAGTGGACGGCACAGCACATCTGGCAGCACAGCCAGGGCCATGGTCCATGCCAGGCAGCAGAGTGTCCCACAGAGGGACAGCGATCCTGACCTTTCCCTGCTCCTCAGTAYAGAAACAGGAAACAAGATGGCCTTTGCCAGGCAGCATGGCTCAGGTCCAGTCCTCAGTCCATGGGACCCCAGGCTCAGAATGGACTCCTGGCTGAGAAAGGCTGGCCAGTGAGGTTCCAGACGGGCCAGGGCCAGACTCACAGACAGGCCAGATAGGGTCCCGTAACAGACTCCAAAACCTGTTCAAGGACCCAAGAAGTCTCACTTCTGGGAATGTGGCAAGACAGGACCTGGCTTTGGGCAGTCACATTATGTCCACATGGGTGCCAGGCACTCCCCAGGGGAACCACCACAAGGCACCGAAGGACAAAGAGACAGATCCTCTCATACCAGGAGGAAATGGAGGCAAAGGCCCAAACCCAAATCACAGGCAGGCCAGCCTGAGCACCAAGCAGGCCCGCAGCTACAGGGGCTTGAGCCAGAGTCCAGGCTCCCTCCCCCAGCCTGAGTAGGGGCAGGGAAAGCTCCGAGCAGTGGTGGGCAGGGGCGGAGGGCCCTGCTGGTGCCCCCAGGCACGAGCATCTCCCAGCCAAGGGCTGGTAGTCTGGCGCTGCCTCCACCCCATCTCCTCCTGTAGGCCCGGTCCAGGAGCAGTGCCTCTGCCGTCAGCCACTCTTCTCCTTACCACGCATGATGCTGAGACCACAGCAAGAACTGTGAACTCAGAGGGATGGGGGCCAGAACAATAGGGGCCCTTCACAGATGAGGGAGAACCTTCCAGATGGGGGGACTAGAGGCAAGACTTGGGTGAGAACCCCCCAGGGGCCTCATCTCAGGCGGGAAAGGGTCTGCATTACAAAACACGGTCCAAGGGGACGCATCAAGCTACAGGACCACCAGAAGCCAGGCAGAGCTGGATGCTACTGCACAGGAAGGAAAGCTGGGGCCTCAGTGGTGAGGCACTCCTGCCCACTCCCTCACAGGGCCCAGGTAGCACCATGTAGAGATGACCTGACCTATCTGTGTCCACTCAGGACCTGGCAAGAAGCAAAGGTGTGAGGACAAGAGACAGGTAGGCTGACATTCCTGGGGAGGGGAGGACAGCTCCTACTGAGGTTGGACACTCATCCAGGGTAGGGGACAGTGCTTGGCTGCTGTGCCCAAAGCCAGAGTAGGCCTGGGTGGACTGCACTCAGTGGACACAGTGGAAATGGAGCACCCTGAGTACTCAGGGATCAGGCAGATGGAGGGGAACATGGTACCTCCTTGCTGTCCCAGCTGTGACACAGGTGGAAACCACCATGCAGGTGGGGAAGGGGCAGAGGCCTGGGGAGGCACAATCCCACTGCCTGGTGACCAAGGGAGGGGTCTGAGTCCAGACAGGGATAGGTACCGTGGAATAGATGGAGTGTCAGCAGGGCCAACTGTGTGCAAGGCCACTGCCTCTTTCCTGTGGGAGCACCAGCTGTGGACAAGCCCAGGGCTCCACTCAGCACCCAAGAACACACCCCCACACACCCGCCAGAGTGAGGCCCCAAGCCAGAGGCTTCCTGGGGCCCAGGCAGCAGGGAAACTGGCCCCAGGAGGAAGACCCCAAGGCCTCAGCCCAGTGGAGACCTCCTACCTCTCCCCAAGGCTTGCAAAATGCCTTCCTGTTGGAATGGGGCGAGCAGGAGACCGAGTAGAGTTTGGGGTGACTCAGAGGGTACTTGGGATGATGGCTCCCTGCCGATGGCCAGCCCCCTAGAGAGCCCCGCTGGGGAAAGCTCCTGGGCTTCGGTGCAGAGGGCTCTGGGCAGGAACGCGGCCCGCTTCAGCGGGGCTCGGGGTCCCAGCAGCAGGAGCCAGCGCTGCGCGGCCCCTCGGAAACCCCACACACCCCAGACCCCCAAACTCCTGCTCCCAGGAGGGCGGCCAGCGCCTCTGAGGCCACGTGCTCCGGCTCGGCGGCTGCAGCCGGCCGCAGCCYCGGGCCCACCGACCCCCGGGAAGCTCCTGGTCTCCAGCGCCGGCCCCGAGGGCCGCCCGGCCCCCAACAGGTGGGCACGGCCCGCTGCCCGCCCGGTTCGCCACCGCGGCGCCCGGCCGGACCGGCCCGCGGACGGGGCCATTTTGGGGCGAGCCAGGCGGGGGCCGGCGGCGGGCGGCGGGCGGCGGGGGAGGGGCGGCGGCCGCGCGCATGGAGGCCGCGGCGGGGCCTTACCTCCGACCCTGTACATGTTGGCGGCCATGTCCGGGCCGGCGGCGGCGGGGCCGCGGGCGGGCGGGCGCGGGGCGCGGGCGGCCGGGCGGGCGCGGGCCGGGGCCGGGGCCGGGGCCGGGGCGGGGGCGGGCGCGGGGGCCGCCGGCGGGCGTTTAAAGGGGCCGCGCTGCTCCGCCGCCGCCGCCGCCGCCGCCTCCGAGGCCGCCGAGGCCGCGCAGGGACGGGAGGGCCGCGGCGCGGGCGGGAGAGGAAGAGGAGGAGCGGCCGCGGGCGGCGGGGAGGGGCCTCGGGCGCCGCCGCCCACCGCGCGGGCCGTTATCCGACCCCGCGCCGCGCCGGCCCGCGCGCCCCTGCCCGCCTGGCCTCTCCGCAGCCCGGCGGCCGGCCGCGCGCCCCTGCCCGGCGGCCCCTCGGCGGCCCGGGTGGCCCTCCCGCGGCGCCTTCTGCCCTGCGGGCCCCCTGAACATCTCCAGGTGGCTGTCGCGCGCGCCCCTGCCCAGCCGGCCTCTTGGCGTCCCCGGATGGCCCTTCCGCACGCCCCTGTCCTGATGGGCCCTTTCCACATCCCTAGGTGGAGCACCCTGGGGCCTCCATGCCTGAGCCCTTCTTGTASCCCCAGGTGGATCTTACCCAGGCCCTCTGAGGCAGCCCCCCAGGGATCCTCTCGGTACTTTAGCCCTCCAGGCATTCCCAACCCCCTCCCTGAGTGGCCCACCTATCCTGGAGCACAGCAGTCCAGCCTGACCCCGGCACTTTCCTCCCAGGGCTAACTCTGCCACCCAATATCAGGGGGTTTGTGTCCTGCTGTTCATGTTCCAGCCCCTAAGGCCATCTCTGGACTTCAGTAACTTTTCSGGCCCCCCAGGGGCATGTTCCTGAGCTAGGGAGGCCTTCCCAAACTGTGGCCTGGTGAAAAGTCCAAAGGAAGGAAGGGTCTTGTGCCTAGGACCCCCTGCTGCAGGCCCCAGATGAGGCTGAACCCCAGCAAGGATAGAGTGCCTAGGGGCAGTTCCTCTGAAGGTAGAGGGGCAGCTCACACTTTCCAGCTCATCTCAGAATTCTCAGCTGTGTTGATTTTTGAGCATTACTAAAGCTTGAGGAGAGTATATTGCCCAGATACCACCCCCAAGGGCTGAAGACAGGAGGTGGTCCCAAATGACAATAATCATGGTTCCTTCCAAACCATGTSGGGGAGGTGAGGCAGGTATCTGGGGGCTGGAGGTTGGTCTAAGGAACCCTGTGGTGCTGCCCAGGTTACCTGGACAGTGAAGGTCTGTGGCTGCAGTGAGACCATGTTCAGTTTGAAGGGCAACCCTATGGGACACCCTGGGAAGTACAGAGTGTCTCTCAGAAGAGAGCCCTGGGCCACCATGCAAGATTTGGGCAGGTGGCCCAGGCCAGTGCACTGCAATCTCCCAGCACACACAGTCTCCCTGCATGATGCTGGGAGTCTAGGTGGGAAACCAATAGGAGTGCTGAGACCAAAGCCAGGAAGGGTCCAAGAGGGGTTCTGCCACAGTTGTGTGCTAAGAATGGAGTTGGAACTACCAGAGCTTGCTGTGAAGGGCTCCCAGGGAGAGTGGAGGGGTTCAGGACCCCAAGGTGCTTCTTTTTGTGTTTGATGGCGATTGATGTGCAGAGTGAAAGAGAAGTATAGGTACAAGAGGGCAGGTGATGATCCACAGGCTGTGTCTCCAAAAAAGGATAAGATGGAATGGGGGTCTCCCTCCCTCCCCACAGGCCTACGCCTCACACTCTTCCATAGCATAAGATTTCCTTCTACCAATTCCAGAATAACAGACCAAAAAAGTTAGAATTACCCAACAATGCCTAAGCAGCTGTCAGCCATGGAGAGAACATGGAAACATCACACTCCGTACCTCTGCATTTGCCTCCATCCCAAACAGGACAGGCTTCAATAAAACAATCACATCCTACAGGTGCCTGCTGAGGAATATGATTTCCCTCTCCTAGTGTGGGGGTGGACAAGAAAAACATGGCCGTCAGAGCTCAGGGCCCATTTCTCAGGAGGTACCCAAATGAATTCCAAACCAGCCCCACCAGGCCTAAGACACACTCCTCACACAGCAGAATGATGCTTAGGAAGCCTCAGAAGAGGCACAGGGTCCAGCTGCTGCAGGCCAGCTCACTCTGCCTTCCTCTCTCCAGATGAAAGGTGAATGGACAATTGCCTGCCCTCAACCTAGCTCAGAGACAGCCAGAAGATCTCAGGACTAAAGAATTAAAACATCTGGTAGCGGGCTGGGGATGTGGCTCAAGCGGTAGCGCGCTTGCCTGGCATGCGTGCGGCCCGGGTTCGATCCTCAGCACCACATACAAACAAAGATGTTGTGTCCGCTGAGAACGAGAAAATAAATAAATATTTAAAAAATTATCTCTCTCTCTCTCTCTCCCTCCCCTCTCTCACTCTCTCTTTAAAAAAAAAAAAAAAACAAAAACAAAAACAAAAACAAACATCTGGTAGCAAAGCAAATAGACATTCAAGCGAGGAGAGTGACTTGTGCAGAGAGCAGGCATGCTGGCTCAGGAAGGGGCCTGCTGACATGTGAGGAAATTCAACAGAAACACTAGAGGGAGGGAGGGTCAGGTAGGTGGAAAGCCTGGCAGAGCAGAAAGTGCACCTGAAAGTTGGRGACCCAGCACAGGAGTGCTCTACATATTAGGATCCTAATGAGTAACCAGGTCCAACAAAGAGGAGCCCAGAAATCTGCTGACCAGACAGCACAATGCGAGGAAGATTTAAGAGCCAAGGAACATAAGAAGGGTTCACATCACACCTCAGTAGAGTAAGTCAGAAGCAGTCAGGGTAGAACATCAGATTGCTAAGGGAATAACATTTCCAGGTCATTTCAGGGCAAGTCAAGCAGTTAAAGCAACTGACTCAGCTGTTATTTTCTGAATACATACTTTTAAGCTGCCGACCACTCTCAAAGCTGGAGGGTAAGGACATAAAGTCTCAGCCCTGGAGAGCTGACAGTCTAGCAGCAGGCTGGGGACACGTGGTATATAATGTCTTGTGATAAGTGTTTTTGAGACAAAATGGTGAGGGTACAGATTCAGGATCAGGACAAAGAGGGGCACTCTTCAACTCAGGAGTCAGCAAAGGAGAATCTATGCAGGTGGGCAGGGGCCCAGAGGACACTTGGCAGGGACACATCCCTGTGCAGGATCCTTTGGGGCCTGGGGGATTTGGCCTTTGCTTCTGTTATCTGATCGATGCTCAGAAGGATCCCTGAGGCTGCACAAGGCACTGGGTTCTGGAGGTAGATGAGTTTCAAAGAGCCTGAAAGAAAGTCTCCTTGGAATAACAGCAGAGCCTTCTCAGGAAAGGCCACAGCATGTTCCAGAAAATCAGAGTGTCACTAAACTTCAACAATTAATGGAACCCCCTTCCCCTAGGAAAAGTGTATCACCAACAAGGACAAAAAAATCATATTTGCCTCTGTTTTTCCCAGAAGCATTTTCAAAGTTTGAAGACATAGTCCTTAGGAAAATAAAGTAGAACACAAGAATTCTTTCTCCAATTGTTCATGCAAGTATAGACATCAATATGAGAAATGCTACTCAGGAGGACCACAAATTCAAAATGAGCCCAGGCAATTTTGCAAGACATGTCCCAAAATAAAAAGGACTAGAGATGTAGCTCAGTGGTAGAGCACTTGCCCAACATGTGTAAGGCCTTGGGTTCCATCCCCAGTACTAAAAAAGAAACGATTTTTTTCTTTAAAAATTTAAAGCCATGTTCAGTGGCACACAATTGTAATCCTAGCTACTTGGGAGGCTGAGGCAGGAGAATCACAAGTTTGAGGCCTCAATGACTTAGTGAGATACTGTCTCAAAATGACAAATGAAAATGGCTGGGGATATAGCTCATTGGTAAAGCACTCGATTTCAATCCCCAGTACACATACACAACCTTGACCTTAAGTCTAGCCAATAAAAGACCCAAATCAAAAGAAGGAACTTGAGTGGTCTGGTTCTGGTCGTGAACTCACTGGAGGCATCAGAGTACAGAGAATGTGACCAGGCTCAGGGTGGGTTAAAAATACCAAGACTCTGGCCAGCATGGACCCCGCAGGGCAGGCAGAAGAGGTGGGGAGTCTCAGCAGGGTCCTCACCACTCAAAGCCAGACATCAGCTAGTACGTTCTAATTAAACCATGCTGCTGAAAAACAGGACACCCTTTCCTAATGATTTTTTTTTTTTAATTTTTTAATATTTATTTTTTAGTTCTCGACAGACACAACATCTTTGTTGGTATGTGGTGCTGAGGATCGAACCCGGGCCGCACGCATGCCAGGCGAGCGTGCTACCGCTTGAGCCACATCCCCAGCCCCCTAATGATTCTTCATTCCTAAAAATAATTTAAGAATAATTTAATAAATTATTCTTGAGAGTGAGAAGCAGTCGTGTGACTTCAGCAATAGTTTTACTATCTTAAAATATTAAGTATTTTAAGATGTCTCAGTGGTTTCTGTATTTCCATATACCCTTCCATCTCGTAATCTAGAAACAACTGCAATAACCCTCCCGGAAAGTTAACTGCGGTCATTTCAGTGATCGAATTGTGAGCGAGTTTTAAAAAACATATTCTTTGTTGCACTGTTTAATCACGGACAAGTATTTGCAAAGCCAATAAAGTCATTTCTTTTAAACGGGGGCAGTGGTGGCATTGTGTAGGCACTCAGCAAAGCTGCAAACTACATCTCCCAGGCACCCCGACCGGTCCTGCGCGCTGCGTAGGCTCAGCTCCCGGATGGGCCGCCAGCGCGAGGCCCCTTCGGCTTCAGGTGAACAGAGGGGGCCGCTGCTCCCCATCCGGAGCCAGCCAGTCACAAGCCGAGAAGGGTGTTGGGGACGCAGAGATTCCGCGGCCAAGGCTGAGCGAGCATGCGCTTGAAGACAGTTTGTGCGCGCGCACGCGCGCGCACGCCCGCGGCTCCGTTCTGGGTGTCTGTCCTGCTCCAGAAGCGCGCAGGCGCTCAGCCGCCGGGGTCCCCTGGGGCCGGGTGGCGGGATACACTCACGTGAGTCCCGGGTAAAGACAGGAACTGACCTGGTGGCCAAGCAGAAGTGAAAGCAGTCTAGAAGCATGGTGTTGCAGTGACTAGAGCCAGACCTAACCGCACTGCGGCTGGGGACTTTGGCTGCGTCCAGGTGCACCGTTCCTTGGATCCTTCCCTCCTCGAATCCTTCCCGGCGTCTCCAGCCTCCCCTTGACTGGTGTCCCAAGACCTTTCCGTTTATCCTAGGAGAAAGCCCCCTGTTGCTGTGAACTCCCACTCACCTCAAGGTAGGTCTCTCTCAAGTGAGCCCCTGACTCCCCAGACCCTCCTCTATTCCTGGATTTCCCAGCCGGGCCACCCCTGTGCACTGGCAAACCTCAAGCAGCACCCTGGCCTCTGTCCAATGGCCACCAGAGTACCCTGAGGGAGACATCAGGCTCCTTCCTAAAGGCCCATATCCTGTCTTTGTGTTTGTGTGTGTGTGTGTGTGTGTGTGTGAGAGAGAGAGAGAGAGAGAGAGAGAGAGAGGCAGACACACCAGGGATTGAACCCAGGGGTGCTTAACCACTGAGCCACATCCCCAGCCCTTTTACTTTCTGAGTCTTTGCTAAGTTTCTTGATGCCTAAATTGGTGAGGCTGGCCTGGAACTTGAGATCCTCCTGCCTCAGCCTCCCCAGTTGCTGGGATTACAGGCATGCGCCATAAAACACTCATCTATGATAATCTGTTACAGCAGCAGTAGGAAACTGATACATGGCCTYTTCTTCCCAGGTGTGGTAAACACACTGCCCCCAGGCACTGCCATCTTTCCTGGCACCTCACTGTCCTGGAGAGGGCGTGCACTCAACGCTGATCCCCACTGCGAGATGGGTCTCATTTCCACTGAACAGAGCTGGCTCTGTGGCCATGTCAACCACTAGGAGGTGGCAGATGAACCCACATGGGTCAGCTCAGCCCCAAGACCCCAAGACTTCAGCTTATGCTGCTGTGGTGGGTAGGAGCTCTGCAGGAACCCTATGAAGTCAGCATCTCACCTCAGGAGACTCCCCAGGTGAGACCAGAATTGGTAGGATGAGCCCAGTCAGCCCCCAGCCATGAGTGAAAATAACACGGAATCTTTTAAAGTCACTCAGAACTACACAGCATGCGACCTCTGTGGTGACCGTTGGCACTTAGCTCCCACTCTGCCCTGGGATGACTCTTGTGTGTTTCCCTGGCCCAGAGCACCCCAACTCCCACATCTTTGTCAGAGGCCTCAGGAGGGGGAGGGATTGTGATGTTCCCCTTCCCCAGGACCCTGTCTGAACCCCACCTCTTAGATCCCCTCCACCAGTCCCTGTGGCTCCRTGGCCTGCCCTCCACCCACCCTGGGGATCCTGACGAACAAATGGGACAAAATTACATTGAACTGGAAAGGGAGTGCCCAGCTGGGTGATGTAGGTAGGCTTCCTGAAGGAAGAGGAACTTTCACTGCATCTTACAGTGAGGGAGGCAGAGAAGCAGGAGGAATGTTCAAGGGCAGCAGGCACCATATGGCCAGATCTGCACCTCAGCCTGGGCTCTGGGACAGCACTGCCTGTTTGCCAATGTGTGCACGGTCCAGGTGGCTGTCACCTCCTCTCAACCCAAAGCCCCTCACCAGCCCTGCCCTCGCAGAAGCCCAAGCAACCCCTAAGTCGGTCACTGAGTCCAGGGCCACCTCCTCACACTCCATCCTGCCAGCCAGCASGGCTGGGAACCCTCCCTCCTTTCCCTATCTCCCACCCCCAGGCCCCTCCAGCTCCATCGCCTCAAAATGCAGCCTGGATTGTCACCCTGGCTCAGAACCCTTCTGCAGTCCCACRCCTTGAGACCAGGCAGTTATGGCTCCAGCCTAAGGCCTGGGGCCACTTGTCCAGCCAGCTTCTCAAGGCCACCCCAGACCCTCTATGCACCCTAGTCCACCTCCAGGTTCACTTCCAGAGCTGGGAGCTCTCTTCCTCACGAAGCCTCCCTCTGTGTGCCTCACCCAGCTGCCCCACCCCCACCCTGCCTCACTGCTGGGTCCTGGAATCCTGTCTGGGCCTTCAAAGGCAGGACCAAGGCTCTGGAGGTGCTGTCAGCCCCAGGGTGGGTCGCCTGGCACCCAGCTGCCCAGGTGCCCCAGAACTTCCTCCTGGCAGCRTAAGGCAGGCCTCCATCTGCCGGCAGGACCCTCTGACCCTCACCCTCCAGGTGGTGGAGGCTGGGGCAGGACCCCTCCCAGCAGCCCCAGGGCACCAGGCAGGCAGTGCTTTGAGGCCTGTTTTCTCCCTGGTGAGACACAGGGACACAGAGGTTTCCCCCAAAACCTCCCCACGGAGAAGCTCTGGAAAGCTGAGGTCCGAGAGCTCCTAGGAGCCGGGAGGCCCCGAGGCTTGGCTCTTCAAAGTCGCACTCTGCCAGAAGGGCGTGCTCCGGGCCAGGAAGTCGTAGAAGGCATTAGTGGACTCAGCAGACCTGGGTGGCTGTGCGAGGAGCACGTCCTTGTCCACGTCTTCAGACACTAGCTCTGCCACCATTTGCGTGATGGCCTGCGGGCAACATTGGTGTCAGGGGCTGTGTGGGCAGGGAGGCACAGGGACTGGGCAGATGAGGCCAGGCACAGGGCAGCCTGCCCGCCCACCACACACCCTGTCTTGGGAGGGGGTGCCCAGCATGGCCAGCCGCCGGCGCTCATCGATGCTGATGCTCCAGTGGCGGCGTGGGCGCCTGTGCTCCTGTGGCTCACACACCTGTGGGGACAGGACAGGATGGTGCGGGCACACCTGGGGCCTCCGCTCCCCTTCCCCTGCACACAGTGAGCTCACTTAGCCTCCCCGCTCCCAGTGGGCGGTGGCACGTGGCACCCTGGGCACCTCCCAAGTTCCACAGTGTTTGTCCCTAGGCTTACAGTGAGGGCTGCAATGTTTAGAGCTAGAAACGGCCTCCAGGACCCTGGGCACAATTACTACAGGGGCCCAGGCTGGGCCAGAGTCGGTCAGTCGGCCTGTTGTGCACCTCCCAGAAACGCTGGACTCGAGAGACAGACCCCATACATCCCCCAGTCCCCTCTAAGGTGATATGCGGGGTGAGGTGAGGTGATGCTGCTGGTGAATGCACAGGAGGAGGAGAGGTACAGTGCAGGAAGGCCATCCATGTGCAGAGGAGACCGGAGGTGGTGACCAGCAAGAGGGCCAGGAAAAGGCCAGGCACACCTGCAGGGAGAGGCCAGCAGCAAGTCCCCAACTTCCCAGTGGGCAGGCCGTCTGCCCCATGGGTGGAGGGGCATCTTCTCACCTTCTGGAAAGGGGAAGGTTGCCACGCTGAAGACAGCAGGCAACACAGCCCCGCAAAGCCCTACTCAGAAAATCAAACCTCAACAACCCCGTGCCAGCCGCTCTGCGGTGGGCACATGTCCAGGGAATGAAAAGCAGGGACTGGACAGGTGTGTGCACAACTCCATCCATAGCATTGTTTTCAGTAGTCGAAACATGGAAACCCAAGTATCCATCGAGGGATGTAAAAGAGACAAGGGGCCAACCACACAGGGGAACATTATTCAGACTCAAGAAACTAGGAAACTTGCTGGGCGTGGTGGCRCATGCCTCAGCTACTTAGTAAGGCCCTCAGAAACTAGCAAGGCCCTAAGCAACTGAGGGAGACCCTCAGTCTCAAAATAAAAAGGGATGGGGATGTGGTTCAGTGGTTAAGCACCCTGGGTTCAATCCTAGTACCAAAAAAAAAAAAAAAAAAAAAAGAGAGAGAGGAGAGCCCCCAGTTCCATTATGCTAAAGTGAACCCTCCAGGGACAAGCTTCACCAAGCACATACATCTGCACAAGCATTGCTTTGGGAAACAGGGCCGGGCCTCCCAGGGCAAGGGACACTCAGAGAGGCATCCCAGGAACAACCAAGCACAGGTCCCTACTGACACTGCCGTCCTGGGAAGCAGATGGACCCATGAGCAAGGGCAGGAGGGTATGGAGAAGGGCCACTCAGAGGACAAGACTGGTTCTTCCACATGAAACACTCCATGGGAGGTAGGCCGGGGGTCCCTCTGTTTTTTGTGGTGCCGGGGATGGAACCCGAGGCATCAGTGCATTCAAGGACAGCACTCTACCAGCTGAGCTATGTCCCAAGCCCTGGTGTTTGTTTTGGTACTAGGGACTGAACTTAGGGATGCTTTACCACTGAGTTGCATTCCAGTGTTTTTTGTTTGTTTGTTTGTTTGTTTGAGATGGGGTCTTGCTAAATTGCTAAGGCTGACCTGGTACTTGTGATCCTTCTGCCTTAGCCTCCTGAGCAGGGGCCTGCATCACTGAATCTGGCTGTTGTATCTATTCTTAGCCCTGTTTCTGTAATTGAATTGTACACCTCCCCTTTGTGGTCTTGCAGTGCTTCCCCTAGAGTTTCTCTTCCTGCCCTGATGATGTTACTCCCAGAAGGGGTATATTCTCACAATATGCTTGTGTGAAGTGGGCTGGCCTTCTGTGTTTCTTCCAGGAGCCTGAGAACAGCAGGCCCTAGGAGGAGCACCAGGAGGGGAATGCAGAAGACACACAACCCTGCTGTTCAGGTCCACGAGCAGAAAACAAAATGGAAGTTCACTATGCATCACTAGAATTATGGAGCTGCTTGTTACAGAGCATCAATGCTGACTAATGCAGGACTGAAAATAAGATACAGAAAACATTTATAAAAAGGAAGATGGAGAACTATTCCTGTTGGGCCAACATACAACTAACAAACCTTGAAGAGAGAGAAAATGAACTCACACACACAAYACGCACACATGTGCTTTTCCCAGAAACTAAAGGAAAAGGCCCCAGTCAGAAAGCCCCCACCCAGGGCAATGAAAATAAATGCCTCCCCAGAGTACATTCCAGAACTCTGACAGGCAGAGAAGCTTTCAGGGAAGAAACGAAGCACAGGGCTGGGAGCACAGCCTGTGCAGCTCTTGCCTACGTGCTTCAGGCCCTGGGTTTGATCCCCTCCACCACAAAACAAAAACAAACCAAACAGTGCACAAAGATCCAAAGTCCAAAAGTTCAGGGCATCACACAGCAGCCCTGGAAACCAGAGGTGATGGGGCACTTAAGAGTCCTGCAGGAAGAGCCTCTCCCACCAAACACGCCACCAATCAAGCACCATCCAGTGTGGAGCTGAGTAATGGAGCTCACCTGAGACCTTCAGCACCCTGTGAGCCCCACCGGGGGAAGCTGCTGAGTGGTGTGCTCTGGAGTCAACAGGCAAACAGAGAAAGCAGGGCCAGGACATGGGCTGCTGAGGAAGACAGAGGGTGACAGCCAGGGCCTGAGGAGGGTCACTGCCCATCCTCTGTGAGAGGACCTGCAGAGGTGTGTTGTGAATTTGGGAAAGGACTGATCATCAGTTCACAGAAAATAGAAAAGAGGAGGCAGGAAGGGAAGAAGTGGGGAGGAACAAGAAGGGTGTGGACAATGCTCACTATCACTACAGGGCCAGTGGTGCAGCTGACAGGTGTGATCTGAGGGCAGAGGGCAGAAAAGGGTGGTGCTGGGAGTGTGTTGCTCGGGCCTTAGCTTCCCCTCGGGAGAGCAACAGAACCCAAAGCTGAGAACTGGAAAGGCAGCAGCCCAGGGTGCAGGCTCCTATAGCCCAGGGGACGGCTGCCCTACAGGCAGAGCCACCTGACAGGACAATCAGAGAACTCACATCTGCCGAATGTATGGGACAGTCACAAAGTCGGTCATGATGTAGGCCACAAGCAAAGCAGGTCCTCCCACACATTACAGATGCCACAACAAATCTGTGACTACGACACAGTATAATTAATTAAAAATTACTAATAAGCCAGGCACAATGGTGCATGCCTGCAATCCCAGTGACTTGGGAAGCTAAGGCAGGAGGTTACCAAGTTCAAGGCCAATGGGGCAACTTTGACCCTTTTCCAAAATGAAAAATTGAAAGGGCTGGAGGTGTAGCTCAGGGGTAGAGCACCCCTGCGTTCAATCTCTGCAGAAAACAAACACAGGTCACTCCTATTGACACAGACATTCCAAAACACCCTTCTAATTGACCCCAGAGTGAAAAAGAAAATCAAGGTTGAGATGTAAATTTATTAGAAATGAACAATGAGAGGAGGACACACCAAAACCCATGAAGGGTGGCCAAAAATGTCCTCTGAAGGCACTCTATACCTTCAAATGCATCATTAGAAAAAAAGTTCTGCAATGGCCAAGCAAGTCACTTGAGAAGCTAGAAAAAGAACAAAAGAAATTTACTGAAAGTTTAAAGATGGAATTATGGTAGATTAGTGAATAAGTTAAAAGAAAAAACAGTGGACAATAATCACAAATGGATTCTTTGAAAAGCCAAAAGAAGGACTGGTCTTCTCCCACATGCTCACCTATCCCACACGCAGCCATCTTTCCACTCATGTTCAGGGTCCGTTCAGCTTCTTCTTTCAGAACTACATGTCATCACAGGTTTTACCCACTTTTCTATTCAGTCTGGTTTGTTTGGGGCTTGTTTTCTTGTAGTGCTGGGAATGAAACCTTCCCTAAGCAGAACCACACAGGTAGTCTGCCTTCCCTTGCTCAGGAATATCCATGGGTCTGCACAGYGGTGTCGGTCCCTTTCACCATCGTGTGAACCAAGGCACAAACCTGGGCTTGTTTGAACCCAGGGGTACTTAACCACTGAGCTCGGCAAGTGCTCCAGCACTGAGCTGCACCCCGAGTCCTCTGTTCGGTATTCACGACAGTTTTCTGACAGTTTGCAAGCATCCCTTCATAGACACTTGACTGTTTAAAGATTACAAGTATTTCCTTCCAGAATGTCATTTAACATTTTTATGTCCTTGATTGTGCCATAATTTAAAAATCTGTTAGGCTTTTCCTCCAAGGATTGTACGTCTGGCCTAAGAAAGGCATTTGTTACTCTGGGATTCTAAACACTTTGGCATCTCCAGTGCTGCTATGGTTTGGGTTAAATGCTGTGTGTTTTAGAAGAAGTGGGGGTTCACTCTGCCATGTTCTAGGTGGATAGCCAACCATCCCACTACCACTTATTGAAAAGTATTTCCTGCTGCTTAGAAATTCCACGCAGAAATTAAACCTCCAGATTAAAAAGTGATATGGGTCACTTTTTCTTCTTTCAGTACTAGGGATGGATCCCAGAGCCTTGCACATGCTAGGCAGAGCTCTACAACTGAGCCACCCTCCGGCCCACAAGTGTCACTTTGACACCCATTTGTCCTAAATTGTGCAGGTATTTGCCACTTTCTGCCCCAATACCACACAATTTTAATTGCTAGAGCTTAGAGGAGGCAAGGACTTTTATTTCTGTTGCACAGGTTGGATGCCGTGGCACATTCCTGTAATCCCAGCGGCTCAGGAGGCTGCGACAGGAGGATCACAAGTTCAAAGCCAGCCTCCACAAAAGCAAGGTGCTAAGTAACTCAGTGAGACCCTGTCTCTAAATAAAATACAAAATAGGGCTGGGGATGTGGCTCAGTGTCGAGTGCCTCTGAGTTCAATTCCTGCCAAAAAAATTGTTGCACGGTTTCTTTCTTTATAAAGTAAAAATTTTAGACATATATTTTAAGAAATATCTTATTGTCAATGAACTTTATTTATTTATATGCAGTGCTGAGAATCAAACCCAGTACCTCACACATGCTAGGCAAGTGCTCTACCACTGAGTTACAACGCCAGCCCTACATGTATTTTTTTTAAGTTAGATTTTAATGTATATATTACCAATATTACTTTTCCATGTTTTTAAACTCTGAATAAATAGAGCCACACTGCAGAGATGATTTGGTCAGTTGCTTCTTTCACTCAGAAATACGCCCATTAAATGGGTCCATGCTCCGTCCTGTGGAGCAGGTATCAGCACAAACAAATTTGCTGAATTTGACACAGAACGTGCAGTAAACTGGCGGCTACTTACAGTCCATCCCCCACTCTGGGCTGGAATACTGCTGTTCTCCACACATTCACGTGGGTGGAGCAGGATCTGGTTATTCCCAGTCCCCTCCACCCCTTATTTTTTTTTAAGTTGTCAATGGACCTTTATTTTATTTATCTTTATGTGGTGCTGAGATTCGAACCCAGGGCCTCACACATACTAGGCAAGTGCTCTACCACTGAGCTGCAACCCCAGCCCTCCCAGTCCCCTTGATGAAGCCATTCTTTCAACTGGAACATTCAGTCCACGTTCATTTGCTGAACTGAATGCCAGATAAGTGGCTCTATCCGCTTCTCACCTAATGCTTTCTGGCCCTTTTGCCTGTTTGCGTTTCTTGGTTGGTGCTTCATGCTTCCTTCTGCGACCACTGCATGTGGTTTCTGTCCCATCTTCCCTTCTCCTGTGGGGATAGGGCTCTTTCTATTCTTGGGTGCAGTCACAGTGTACATGCAAAGCCAAAGTCCAATATTCCCAAATGGCGCAAGACCCAGAGGCCTTGTGTCTAAGCCACTGTGGTAGGTACCGTRCCCCAAGCAGGCTCTGTGACTGACACCCAGTGATTGTTTGAACCCAGGGGTACTTAACCACTGAGCTCGGTACTTAACCACTTAACCATTGGTGCTCTTTTCGATCTCCCCAAAGACTTGCGTTTCACCCTCATTCCTGGTCTACTTCACGGCTTCTGAAATCACTGTCTTCCTCTTTGAGGTCTGTCCTCAGAATTGATATGAGAGTCTATGGGGGCACTGGGGATATGGCTCAAGTAGTAGTGAGCTCGCCTGGCATGCGTGAGACACTGGGTTCAATCCTCAGCACCACATAAAAGTAAAATGGAGATATTATGTCCACCTAAAGCTAAAAAAAAAAAAGAAAGAAAGAAAAAAGAGTCTATGGATGCACAAGACCCTGGGTTCAAACCCCAGCACCACAAAAAAAAAAAAAAAAAAGAGTCTATGGAGGATGAATTCTTTTTTGTTTATCACTTTCATTATTTTATTTATTTTGTGGTGCTGGTGATTGAACCCAGGCCCTCATGCATGCTAGGCAAATAAATACTTTACTACTGAGTTAAGTCCCAGCCCTTTATTTGGTGGTACTGGGAAATATACCACCAAGCTACACCCCTAGCCTATTTATTTATTTGAGACAGGATCTCCCTAAATTGCTGAGGCTGGCCTTGAACTTGAGATCCACTTGCCTCAGTCTCCAGAGTCACTGGGATCACATGCATGTCCAACGATTGTCCTATATTTATCATTTGAAGTCAAGTGATAATTTGCCTTCTCTGTGGAAGATACTTATGCCAGGCAGAATTTTTTTCTTTTCTCTCGGCCTACATGTGGTACCCTCTCTGTAACAAGCTTCCACAGCCTTTTTTTTTTTTTTTAAGTCCCACTGTGTGCCCCAAGCTGGCCTCAGACTCTCAATTCCCTTGAGGGGTTCGGGTCACACATTCTATGGCTGCCAACCAAAGGTAGCTGTCAAGTCCCTCTGCTTCCTCTGCCTGCCTCTGAGAGACTTGTCTCTGGACCCTGCAGGACCACTGTGATGGCTCGGGCTTGGAACCTAACTTAGGCCACTGGGCTTTGCTGGGCCGTCCAGGACAAGGTCTGATCACCACCGACCTCCAGAGCACATCCAAGGACTTGCACATGGATCAGCCTCATGTCGCCCCCTCCCAGGTTCAGGAGGGATGACCAGCGTGAGAAAAGATGCTGCAGAGATGATGGAGTGTGACTTCCAAGGTCACCTGCAGAGCCCTGGCTGCTTGCACTTGGCTCTCACTCCCTCTGGGGGAAGCCAGCCACATGCTGGGAAGACACACAGCCTGCTGTGTGGAGATCTGTGGTCAGGATCTGTGGCCTCTGCCAGTATCCAACCCCGACYAAGTGAGGGAGTGCTGTGGGCACAGCCTTAGTCCAGCTTTCAGAGGGACTGTAGCTCAGACTGACATCTTGACAACCTCCTGACAGACCACATCAAGGCCACCCAGCTAAGCAGAGTTCCTGGCCTACAGAATCCAAGGCAAAATATTGTTTCAAGCCACTAAGTTTTGGAGTTACTCTGTTTATGTAAGAATGTATAACTAATATGCCAGCAAAACACTATGTGTATCTAGAGTAAAATTTTCAAGATTCATGAAATTTTGTTTGTCCATCCATCCCAGGGATGGAACCCAGGAGTGCTTAACCACTGAATTACACACTTAGCTCTCTTTATTTTTTGAGATAAGTTCTCGCTAAGTTGCTGAGGCTGGCCCTGAATTTATGATCCTCCTGCCTCGGCYTCCTGAGCTGCTGGGATTATGCGTATGCACCATGGTGCCCAGCATGAAGTTTGTTTTTTGTGTTTTTTTTTTTTTTTAATTTTTATTTTTTAAAGAGTGAGAGGGAGAGAGAGAATTTTAATATTTATTTTTTAGTATTTGGCGGACACAACATCTTCGTTTGTATGTGGTGCTGAAGATCAAACCCGGGTCGCACGCATGCCAGGCAAGCACGCTACCGCTTGAGCCAYATCCCCAGCCCTGAAGTTTGTTTTTTTAAAAAACTGGGATTGCATTGAATCATGTTTTTGAAACTTAACAGGCTTAAACCTTAATAATGGAGCCAGGCATGGTGGCACCCAGCCCGTAATCCCAGCAATTTAGGAAGCTGAGGCAGGAGGGTCACTAGTTAGCCTGGGCAACTTAGTGAGACCCTGTCTCAAAAAATAAAAGGGCTAAGGATATAACGCAGTGGTACCCCGGGGGGTTCAATCCCCAGGGCTGCACACATGCATAAAGTAAGATTAACACCTAAAACTTCTCGTCTTGTGAGGTATCTGTGTATTGCTCAGCTACTCAGTGCTCCTCACAGAGGTATGTGGCCAGGGCTGACCGAGTGCTGCCACAGTGAGCAASAGTCTTCCCAGGCTTTTCTGACTGTTTTTTTCAGGCTATTGAAACTAGGGTTTCACCCATAGCAGCTACTCAAGCCTTCTTTCATTCAGGAGTATGGAGTTGTTAATTGGCTGGGGGAGGGTGTTTCTAGGTAGAGAAGACCTTGTTGTGAACAGTGGCCTTTTCATCTTTCCTGCCCTCCCTTTCCTGGAGTATGGACACCATTCCCATCTGCTGGGTGGGAGCCAGGGTGGAAGCCCTGCTGGCCATTTATGCTTCTGTGGCCAGGCTGCAGAGCTGAAGGAGGAGGCAGGAGTCCAGTACTTTTAGTGCAACACACTAATTCCTGAATGCCCCTGTCCAAGCACGGAGCTCTCTCTCCATCTTCAAGGACCTGTGATTCTTCGGCAGTATTTAAAAGTTACCCTCAGGAAGGTTTTGTACACTTTTTAAATTTACTACTAGTACTACTATAAGTGGCCTTCTTTGCCACTTTTTTTTTTTTTTGGCCTTCTTTTTTAAAAAATTTTTTAGCTGTTGATAGACTTTTATTTTATTCCTTTATTTGTATGCGGTGCTGAGGACAGAACCCAGGGCCTCACACATGTCAGGCAGGTACTCTACCTCTGAGGCCCAGCCCAGCCCGTGTGTTATCTTCTTGAGCCTGCTATTGGGTCTGTAAAGGCTACTAACTTCCCAACCCTTTTTCTGTGGATGGATTCCAGTCAATGCCTCTAGATTGATCAGGACATGGTTTCCAAACAGGGCTGACTTCACATGTCTGGTGCTCCATGGCTGGTCATTACAACTCCGGGGGAGGAAAGGCAGACACCGGCATGAGGACAGAGGGAGGTGTATGGCTTCTACCTGCCCGGCCTGCCCAGTGGTAACCCTGGTGCACCCCAACCCTGGTCCCAGTCCTGCAGCTCCCAGCTTCCTTACAGCACTACCACCACCACCCCTAGCCCCCCACGCTTCTACTAGCTGTCATTAAGCACAAGTGTGACAGCTGGAGCTTCACCCACTGGTCTAGGCTGGTGGTCTGGAGACCCTGTGCTGGGGAAGACCTCCTTGGCCTGATGTCAGCCCAAGGCTGCTCATCTTTGTGAGCATGTTCTGGCACCATGCATGGCACTGGGGGCTGTAGTCAGGCACAGCAGAGGCAGTGGCTCTTGAGACCCAGGTTGGGAAAGGGGAGGGATGAAGGACTTAAGTTAGCCTGGGAGGTGACACCGGAGAAGAGGCCAATTAAGGGAAGATCTGGAAGAAAAAGATTCTACATCCAGGGGACAGAAAGTTAGAGAGGACAGTCTGGGTGCCTTTCAGGGCCACAGTCAGAAGCAAGGGAGAGGACAAGGAACTTTGCACAGGAGCAACCCTGGAAGGACCCAGGTGTGAAAGACACTGCAGTGTCTCCTCCTGTCCCTGCTCTCTCTGCCACAGGGCCCTGTGATTTGCGCAAAGCTAGCCCAGGCCCACTCCTCCTGTGTACCTACTGGCTATACCACCTATCAGAAGGCAAGTCCCTCAGTAGCTAAAGGGTCTTGCTGGTCCCTCACTCCAGTGGCCCCAGTACCCACATAAGGAAATACCCAGGAGGGCACAGTCATGCAAGCAGCTCAGAGAGCCTTCTTACTTTCCCCCCACCTTTGACCTCAGTGAACACACGTGCTGGACACACACAAACCCAAATGCATGACTCAAAAGGCTCCCTGCACTGTCTGACTGCAGGACCAGCACCTGGCAGCCTGGGAGACCCTTGAGCTCCTGTCTTACAGAAGTATGGACCTGTCTGGCCTGGCTTTGAACCTTCCCTAAGCGGAACCACACAGGTAGTCTGGATTCCTGGGCTCAGGGAATGCCCATGGGCAGGCACAGCTGGGCTGGTCTAGGTCTGTCTGTCTCACTACTKTGGGAACCAAGCACATCCCTGCCCTGGAAGCTTGTTCTCCCTCCAATTCAAGACACTCTCTTGGCCAGGAGTGAGGGGCACTGGACATCTTCCCGACCTCGGTGGGCCTCCACTCTGCCCGGCATAGAGAGGCAAAAAGGGTACAGGATGATGGGGAGAGCATACTGCCCCTCTGTCTCCATTCAGGCCCCTGTATTCCCTGCCTGATTCCCTCCCCAACTAGCCCACCCAACGTCTGGGTTTCCAGAGGTGGCCTCCTCTTACTTACCCAGTCCTGCGTTTGCAATCCGTGCTGGTTACTGCTCTGGGCACCCGGTTGGCCCCTGGTCCTAGACTGGCCCCCAGGGGGAAAGGGCTGCCTATGCTCTTGAGTGGGCTGTGACTGCTGTGCCCACAGCTGCCTGCTGTCCATCTTGACCCTCAGCAGGCTGTGGGTCTTCACCTCTGAGGCTCTAGGGGAAGGATCAGGATCAGGTGGGGTAGGGTCCCCAAGGCTCCCAGGGCCCCTTGGTCAGATGGCAGGCAGCAAGTTAGGCCACCTTCCAGCCACTAACCAGACTGTTGCCGGATGGCTGGCCCCTGTGAGCAACATGCTCCTCACTACTCCTGTGGCCACTGCCCTCCACATCAGCATCCCAAGTCAGAAGCCTCCGCCATCTGTTGTATCCAGCCCGTTGTCTCCAGCCCTGGCTCCTAGCACCAACCCTCCGCCATCCTGCTCCTTGACCTGGCTTCACCACACCTAAGGCTCAGGCCTCAGTCTCCACTCTCTGGGGGTCTGTGCTGAAAGGGAGGGACACAGGAGGAGAGAACAAGATGCATGTTGGAGAGGGGAGGAGTAGGCCCAGTGGGTCCCAAAACCGTAAAAGCTGGAACAACTGGGGAGGTGAGGCCCTGAGACTGGGGTGGGGGTAGGGCATAGAGACCAGCGCTGTGGGTCCTGGAATGGAGGAGCAGGGTCCTATGGAGGTACTGAGAGGGTCAGCGGGGTCCTGTGGGGATGTAGAGGTTTGGTGGGGTCCTGTGGGGGTACAAAGAGGCTGGCAGGGGGTCCTAGAGGGAACAGAGAGGCTCTGCGGTGTCCTGCAGGGGTACAGAGTGGCTTTGGGGGGTCACCAAGTAGCTGGGCGGGATCCTCTGGGGGCAGGACGGGCCTCTACAGGCCTCTGCAGGGTCCGGTGACAGCAAGGCTGGCTCTGCGGGGTCCTGTGGAGGCGAGGCTGGCTCTGTGGTCCTGTGGGGGCAGGACGGGCTCTACGTGTCACTGGGAGGCCCTGCGGGGTCCTGTAGGGAGGGGGCGGGCTCTCGGATCCTGTAGGGGCGGGGCTGGCTCTGCGGGGTCCTGTGGGGGCGGGGCGGGCTCTGCGACGTCACAGGGAGGCTCCGCGGGTTCCTGTGGGGGTGGGGCGGGCTCTGCGGGGTCACAGGGAGGCCCTGCGGGGTCCTGTAGGGAGGGGGCGGGCTCTCGGATCCTGTAGGGGCGGGGCTGGCTCCGCGGGGTCCTGTGGGAGCGGGGCGCACGCACCGCGGCTTCGCGCGGCCGGAGGGGCAGCCTCTTGCCCCGGAACTTCCGCCCGCAGGCCCCACCCCGCGGGCTTCGGGTTCGGCCTGCCGCGCTTGCGCCAGCCGGCCCTGGGCACGTCTGCTCTTGCGCACGTCTGCTCCCTTGTTCGCAGAGAGGAATAACGCAGTTGGGCGGCATGAGTGCCCTCAGTTTATTAGTGTCGCTTCAGCACCTTAAAGTCGTCCACATGGGACAGATTAGCATCAGCTCCTCGAAAAGCTATTTACATTAATTTTGCTTCCCATTAAAAAGGAAAACTAGCAACACAAACACTGTAGAAACCAGTCACAACGAACAGGAGGGGGCGCCCACAAGCCAACTGGGCCCGCTGGCCCCTCCAGGACCCCACAGCCCGGGGAGGGTTGGGGAGCCTGTAGAGTCCGGCGGCCTGGCTCTGGAGGCAGTGGCTCGGACGTTTTCATGAGGACATCGTTCGGAGACGCAGGTCACGGACGGCCAGGTCATTCAGGGGTGGGGACAGCGCGGCAAGGCCACCAGCCCCCGCACAGAGGTCCCCACCCCACTCGCGTCCAGGTGCTGACCGAGGACCCTGGACTGCATGCCCAAATGAGACAGTGGCAAGGCGACCAACCTGGAGAGGGGGCAGGTCCCCACCTTCAAGGATAAAGGTGGAGCCTGCCCAAACCTCTCCGACAGCGGTGGCCCCGCCCAAAAGGAGCCTGGTGTTACTGACAGCGACTAGTGGCTTAACCTTGGAGACTGGTGGGGCTGAGGCCTGAGAAAAAGCACTCACTTCTGACACACACTCTCTACTGCCCTCATGGCCACACCGCTGAAGACAGGTTTGGCTTCTGGTGGTCCATCGAGGGGACAAAGTGCTTTTCCATGAATCCTCATAACAGCTCCATGAGGTAGGCAGGGGAAATGTGACCTTCCTCTTTAACCAACAGGGAAACTGAGGCAAGTAGTGCATGTAGTCCAGGTCTCCATTTGTTCCTTCCTGGCACAGGGCCTATGTGGTGGTGGTCACATGGTGCTCAGGAGCAGCCCAGATGGGTGCTGGACCCAGGGCCAGCTGCTGAAGAGGCTCTATCCTGCAGGGTGGAGCCTCAGAGCCACCTGGGGAAGAGTACCCAGGGAAGTTTTCCCCAGGAAAGGGCTGCCCACAGCCAGGTAATCTGCACAGTCTCTGTGGCCTCGAGGATAGAAAGTTCAGTCATCTCTTTTCCACCAAGAGTGACCTTTCGGAAGAAATTGGATGGCCATTCGAACTGAGAGCCCTGTGTACTTCAGCAGGGTGTTCTCTGGGGCCGTCCCCTGCAGGGCACTCTGCTCACAGGGCTCCTCTAAGCCACATATCCATGTCCTATCACTAGCCCCCTARAGAGGGGCAGGTAAACAAGTAGATCACAGGTAAGAAAAATAGGCCATTCTCACCCCAAGGAAGGTGGTCCTGCATTTGGCACTGTTTTCTGAGCAGAGCCTTGTGCAGCTCTTGTTCTTAGGGTCACCAGTGTCCCTGGGAAGGCTACAGCTTCCAAGGGGATAGGAATGGGTGGGCTCTTCCTGTGCAGCCTGCAGGGTTCGGGCATGTCGGGAGAAGCGTGTCTGAGGCAGCACCCCTTCCTGCTGGTCTGTGGAGCAGGTAGTTAGGTGGGTGACCCTATTGCCGTTCAGCACACTCCTGTCCTGCTGCAAGGGAAGGCAGAGGGCAGGGCTGCCACCCAGGATGAGACCCAAACGCAACATGCTGCTCCAAGGAGCATGGCCTGGAGGGCGCACAGCGCTGAAGGGGGTGCCTGGCTCCTGCAGTCACCTTCTGCGATCAGCCTGCTTGTCAGAGCCTGCACTGGCCACGCCATTGCTGCAGGTACCACACACACCTGGTTGCCTGTTCCCCAGTTCACCATGATCCTCAATCTCAGCCCAGATACCCACACGGCCAGTTCTGGATGCTCTAGGCCAGCAGGCAGGGCAGGGATGGAGGGTGTGGCACAGCAGGCTAGTGTCTGGGCACTTGGCTTCAGCCTCAGACCAACCCCTGCCACAGCTCACCATTTCCCAGGCTGGACACTAGGACATTTGCAGGGACCAAGGCTCAGTCTGGGACAGCACAACACAGAAGCCTAGCAGTATCTCAGGAATAGCTGAGGGACTGGAAGGGGTGAGGTGGGTGGGCAGGACTGTGGTTCTGTGGAGCCCCAAGGGGACTTCATGAGAGGAACATCTGTTTGGCAGCTACGTCGTCACATGTATTTGAGAGCATTAGAAAGATCTGCTACTATAAAATCTCCCCCACAAGGCTGGAGTTTATTGGGAGCTGTGCGTGGATGGTGCTGGGGGTGGCACCCCCCACACCTGGAGTCTGAGCATGCCTGTGACCCTTGGCCCCTGGCCACCAAGCTCCGAGGCCTGTGCCTGCCCTGGGCTCCCTGAGGAAGCAGATCCTGTCTTCCAGGAAGGAGGACATGAAGGCAAGAACCTTTCTTGCTTCACGGGCTCTGGGTGGTTCCTGAGGCCCTGGACACTGACCTCCACCTTCCAGCCTCCCTGCTCCAGCCGGACATTCTGGTTAATAAGCACGGCAGTTACTTGGCGCCCAGCAAGAAGCTGCCCCTTAGTTTTCAGGCTGTGAGTACATCTGTACTTAAGATGGTTTGTGTTTTTGACAGTCTGTCTGTGTAGTAAACTGCAATGTTAACAGAAATGTAGCTGCCCCTCCAGCAGTGGCCACCACGGGGCAGTAAATAGGCGCCTCCAGTGTCCCACACCACCCCCACGGTGGGCAGGGCTAGAAGGTGGCCTTGGAGTGTCCAAAGATGCAGATGGGGAAGTGCTTCACATGGGACGACCACTGAGCAGCCAGCTGGAAGAACTTGACATCGCTGCACTCCACGCCATCGATGAGGACTGCGAGAGAGGGCTGCCTGACCACCTGCCCGCCGGGCTTGCCCACCCACAGGGCAGTCCCTCAGGAAGCTGGGCTGCCGCCAGAGTACAGGACCAGGATCCCAAAGCTGGAGGCGCCCACACCCTCAGGAAGCCCCCTTGCCAGACCCTCTCTGCTACCCACCCTCCCAGGACATAGGGTCTCTGGGGGCCTCAGAGGAATAGCTGGCATGAGCCTCAGCCAGATGCTGTTTGTCCACCAGACCTACTCCTCTCAGGTCAGGCCAGAGACTCTGTCAGCCCCATTTAAATATCCCCACTGGCCATCACCATGGGAAGACCGGGGCAGTTCTCCACCTGGAAGCCATGGGTCTGCCCTCACAGGGAAGGAGAACCCTGGGAGCTCCACACGGAGTCCAATGTTGTCAGAATGCACCCCGAGAAACACTTAACTCACACGAATTGCTCCTTGACAACAGAAAGGATTGAGAGTTATTTGAATGAGAAGAACTGTCCGGTACACCCAAGGGCCTCATCACCGTGTGCAGAGAACAGTGTGACGGGCGTTTCACAGTATGTCCTGTGGTAGCTAAAAAAGCTGCTCCCGGCCGCACTGCTCTGCCTGCACATGTGACATAACCCCAGGGGCCCTGGGGCCCCAGCGGGCCCCAAGTCACCACTGCCCTGCAAGGGCCTGTCTTACCCCGCAGCATGTTCTGCTGGTGCTTGGCTGTGCAGATCAGGCGGCTGATGCCCTCGATGCACTGGCTTTTGGACTCCACATCCTTGTCCTTTGTTTTCTTGGGCAAAAACATCACTGGGAGGAAAAGGGCCCTGTTGTCATCCACTGCTCCTTCTGGGCCAGGCTGACCAGAGCCGCCCTGCAGCAAGCAGGACAGGAGAGCAGTGGCCAGAGGGCTGAAGAGGAGTTGAAAGGGCCTGGCTGGCTACAGCTCTCAGACCCCTGTTATCTACAATGCCCAGCTGCCTGCTGTGACCACAGGCAGACACCCTCCACCTGTCCCGTGGCCTCCAAGGGAGGCTCTGGTCAGAAGTTGCCAGATCCTCAGTGCCCCCTAAGGCTCACTGTTGTCTGGTAGACCCCCCTGAAGGCCAGCCCTGGGCCCCTTGGGTGTATGGGGAACCACACGTGGGTGGTACTAGGAGGTGAAGGCCCTCATCCCCAATTCTCATGGACTGTCCCTCTTCCGCTGTGCAGCCCTGTGCAGCCTGCCCCCACCTCACCCTTCTTGTTCTTCTCCTTGGTGACCACAGTCATGGACATGGTGGGCGTGGCTGCAGCCTCACCACTGCTGGGCAGCCTGCTGACCTGGAGGGACCGGAAAGTGCACTTGAGCGTGTTTTTGGTGGTGGGCAGGTCCTTCTTCTCGGTGTCCTTCTTCCTGTCCGTGGGCTGTGCCGCCGTCCAGTAGTCCACCTGTAGCCCCATGAGCTCGGCGCCAGCGCCCTGGCTGTGAGAGGCAGAGGGAGACACTCACACTCAGGGCTATGGTCCTGGGAACAAGGCATCACTGTCCTCACTGGCAGGGAGGTATGCCAACAGCTGGACGGCCAGACATTCTGAAGAGCTGTCTGTTCACGGGACCCATACCATTGCCATGCCAAGGAAACCCACGCACTAGCTGGGCAACTCAGACTAAGCACCCCCTCAGGAGGTGTGGCCAAGTGTGAATCGGCAGTTGGTGAAGCTCAGGGAGGGCCTGCTGGAGGGCCCTGGATGAGGGGCCAGAAAGTGCAGTGTGAGGAGCACACATCTCCAACTTGGCCCTGGAGAGACGCAGGGTGGCCTGGCAGGACACCAGTTGGTCCTGTGTGGATGGTCCGAGGAGCACGTCTCCTCTGCCCCCGCCCCCCATGCTCTCTGGAAAGCCTCACTTGCAGAGCCAGGTTCATTTATAGGGTGGCGGCTCCTGCCGTGGTGCTCGGTGGGGAACAGGTGCGCCTGATCTGTGGCAGCAGGTGGCCAGCTAGGATCGAGCCCTCAGACTCCACCACAGGATCTTAGCCTGGGCCTGYCCACAACTTTCGGGGTGCGACATGGGGTCAATGCCAAGTCAGAACAAGTGGGACAAGAGCTGTGTGTTTACCTGGGGGAGGACAGGCCTCCGCTCACTGATGGGGAGGACGGTGGTGTGGGCGAGGCCTCCTTGGCCGCAGGAGACGTGGAGGTGGAGGGTGGGGTGGAGGAGAGCACACTGGAGCCCGAGGGTGCTGCGTCATCAGAGTCGCCTTTGGAAGGAGTCAGGCCAGGTGAGACCGTCGGCTACAATGGCCCTGTGCCTAGGGCCTCCAGACAAGGATGCAGAGAGGTGGCCAGCAGCCCTTTGGGCAGGTGGGATGGGCAAGGCAGCCTACAAGGGAGGCAAGGTTCTCTTCCGTGACGGAGGAGAGCTGCCTGGCCTGCTGCAGCCTGGAGCGTGGTGAGGACAGCAGCTCTTACAGACCAGAAGCAGCAGGGCTGAGCTGCTCCTTAGTACAGCAGAGAGGTACCCCCTGGGCACAGGGCACCACCAGGACCTAGGGGCACTGGTTCACTCATATAGGCCTCAGGGGACGAGGTTACCTGATGTGGCGGAGGATGGTTCCACAATCCCAACCTTCACAACCTGGAACAAGAGATGCCGGCTGGAGTGTCAGCCAGCCCCACTGCCCTGCCCACTGCCGCCCTGGGAGGCTGGCCTGAGGGTGCTGGTGAAGAGGCAGGAAGCTGCTCCAGAATCCATGTGGGCTGCTGGGGACCGTGACAGGCCATGTCCTAGGCCTGTGGCCACTAGCCATGTGAAGCTGTGTCAACTTAGAGCGCATTACACTATCAAATTCAGGGCTTGGCCACATGGTAACAAGTCAAGGGTCCAAGAGTGCTGTGTACTCTTGTCACTGCAGGAAGGCCTGGGTGGGGGTGTCTGGATGAGTTCCATTCCTTACAGGGGACAGACCTACCCTAGTCCCTTCACTGGGCCAGGAAGGCACCTGCCACATGCCATGCAGACACCTCAGCAGGGCAGGGTCACAAAGGGAAAAGGTGGCAGTGAATGGTCATGGAGACTTGGGGCTAGGAAGAAGCACGAGCACCTCTCAGTCTTCTGCAGAGGAAACAGCAGAAGGCCACAGCCACGCAGCCTTAGCAGGCAGGCCAGGAGGTGCCCTCTTGCCTCAGCACTTCTCCTGGCTACTGGGTTGGTGCTGTCTGACCCCTTGCTGATGCCCAGGACAGGCTGAACTGGACACTGGTCCTAACCACAATAGAGTCATCACTGCTTCTTCACATCTGCTAGGGGAACCAATAATCCTGGGCCCCCACTCCTTGTCACAAGGACATAGTAGTGCACTATCATGGAAGGACTTAAGGCATTACTAAGCTCACATGGTGAAGAAGGTTCTGGAACACGCAGGTTAACTTGAAAGCACTGTTAAGAAAGGTACTTTGGTCGGCCACCATTCCCAGCAAGGTGGAGCTGGCAGTACTCACCCCAACAAAGGGAATGAACCTCTGGGAGGACTCTTCGTCAGGGCTGTGAGTGAGATAGAGAAGAGTTATTCTCCCTTGGTATAGCCCCAGCCCCAGCTCACCATCCCCAACCCTGCCAGCCAGTGCTTAGATTCTTTCCAACAGGCTGACACATGAGAACAGTGAACAGAGCTCTATAACCCTGGGCAGGAAGCCATGCAGAGCCCTGCAGCTGGGAGGAAGGGTCAGAGGACATGACTTCACGGGGAAGCTTGCCCGTCCATCCCAAGTGCCTGAGGCATGGCAACAGCTCAGCCAGTCCTGTCTGCACTGCTGGCCCACCAAGCTGGTTCCCTGAGTAGCTGGAGCTTCATATGCCCTGTGGGCCCCAGAATATCTGGGGAACATCTTGGGCCTTCTCCAGTAATTAGAGTGGCTGCCCCAAAGCAGGGCACAAAGTGCCTCCTCAAGAGGCCAGGCCTTTGGCCCTAGTGCCAGTGTAGATGCCAGTACTAACACAAGTAGAGCCCAAAAGTGTGACTCCCCAAGGAGTTGACATGTTGAGCACCTAGGGCAAGGGGGCTAGACTTGGCTCCATACAGCATCTGGCAGACCTATAGCCTCTCTTAGCAGTGTTGGCCACAGCCCCTCCATCACGGGGATGTGGAGGGTTCCAGGGCAGGCACCAAGGCGATGAAAACTGTCTTCTCCTCCTGTGTACATCCACCACACTGGCCATGTGGCTCGTCTCCACAGAGGGTCCCTGCCAGCTGGTCCCCAGTGACCTGACGAGCTCTCCCACGGGCTGCAGGGCCAGCACAGAGCCACGGCTCTATCAACAGCAGGAAAAGCAGCCCCTCCAGACTCTGGGAAGGTCCACCAGGCAGGTCTGGTCCCAGTGCTTGACTGGACCAGTCTCCTCCATGTCATTCTTGCCCACCCACCCTTGCAGCTCCCTGGCTTGCACCCAGGGAACAGAGGTGCCCCTCACCCCGAGTGGGTCTACAGCTGGTGCCATCTCTGGCTGTGTCTTCCAACTCCATTTTACCTGTCTCGTTTCCCCAAATCTGATGCCAGCAAAGTTCTCCCAGATGGAGACTGAATGTGCCCCTGGTGCCAAGAAGCGGTCAAGCACTGGGGGCGGGTGATGAAGGTTCTCCCTGGACTTCAGGGAACTAACCAACTGTTCAGGCTGGTGGGGTGCCTCAGGGACAGCCCTGGAGCATGTGCTGCCCAGCACCTGGTCTCCCAGACAGAAGCCTCTTCAAGAAGCAGGCTTGGGAAAGGCATGTGTCCATCTAGCTGCCTGCCGTTGAGCACTGACTCCCAGGTCCAACAGCCCATCTTCTCAGAGTCCAAGTGTGGGCAGAGGCTGAGCCTGGTGCTCCCCACACAGAGGGATTCACAAGGTGGACCAGCAGTCCTCACCTGGCCAGCCCGGAACACACAACTAGGGCACTGCCAACATAGATTGCTCCCAGCAGGAGCCCCCCCAGCCCACCTTCCATTCCCACCCATAGAACCCACCCCCTCCCCCAAAGACCAAGATGCTTTGGAATAAAACACCTGCAGGCTCTGTCCCTCCCAAAAAAGACTAAATTCCTAACCTTCCTTTCCCGTCTAAGGAGAAGTGCTGAAAGAGAACCTCCCCCTTGTCCATTTTAAATAATAAGTGGTCTACATCTTTGGCCACAGCCTGCTTCTGCTCCATGAAGTTCAGGACATGTCCTGGACCCATGCCCAGGCTGCCCTATCTACCATCAGGCATGAGTTCCTGGGTGGCCATCCACATGAGGGTCCCACCTGTTCTCTGGGGCAGGTCTGTGTTTGTAAATCTTGGTGACACCCAAGTCCTTCTGGGCACAGGAGGTTGTAGAAGCCAAGTGAGTGGTCCTGGTCCCCAATGCATGAAAAGGCTCTAACCCATAACGAACAGGGCTTCCCACCCACCCCAGGGCCCCCAGGCCTGTAGCAGAATGGCCTCTTATCCACAGCTGACAAGGGCCATGTGTGACCAAGACATGGGAAATGTCACAACACAGGAAAGCTGCCAGCACTCAAAGCCAAGCTGCATCTTGGGCCATGCAGACAACACCAGCACAGGCAGGACAGGGTGACACCGGCTCTCCACTGAGGCCCCCAAGCCCTGGTCAGAGGGGCTGCTGGCACCTCGCACACRTTTCTGAGGACAGTGTGGTCAGCGGGACACCTGGTCTGGCTCCTGAGACCTGCCACTGTGCAGAAGGCAAATGCCCTGAGCCTGAAGACCCCTTTGACCCCCACAGGCTGATGGGCAGGCCAGGGCTATGGCTGCCCTGCTCTGACATCAGGGCCCACTGAAGGGACAACTTCCATTCCCGGCCAGCCAGCCACACTGCATGGGGCATGGGATAGGCAGGAGCAACCTTGGAGAGCTGGGCAGGGCTGGAGCGACTGGCAGGACTCTGGGCTTCTCTGGCCTCATGCTGTACTTGATGCCCACCCTGCCTATGGTACCGATGCCACCACTGTATCGCAGGCAGGAGGCACAGAGTGGGAGTGGGTTATGTTCTCGCCAAGCCTTGTTTTGCAATTCAGAGGAGCCAATCCCAGGAGTGACAAGAAGCTGCGACTAGGCAAGAGCATGCTCTGGGCTCTGCCTGCCACAGCCGGCGGCACAGGCCAGCCCACAGGGTCAGGGAGGCATGAGATGGCTGGTCTTTCTCTAACACAGGGGGCTTGTTTAGCAGGACAGACTTGGATGCTCAGAGCCCTGCTTGTGCATCCCGCCCACCTGCAGCTTGGGTGGCCCAAAGGCTACGTGGCTGCTACTGTAACACTCCTAGGAAGGACATCCCCTGGACCCAACAACCTTCCTGGGGGCAAAAGAGTAAGAGAAGTTTACCCAGGAGAATAGATAGCCTGAGGTCGGTGTGGAAGACCGAGGGCAGGACCTGCCAGGCAGAGGAAAAGGGACAGCTGTGGGGGTTCCTGGACTACTTGACTTCACAAGTCCAAAAGTTCAGAGGACAGAGCCACCCCTACAGGTAACAGCACTCTACCCCTATTTGGGGGGTCAAAGTGGTCTGGCTGCCTCACTGGGCACAAAAGATGCTAGGAAGCCCTCTCTGTGACTCTGGCCTGGGAGCCTGACTCTGCGTGCAGAAGGCCAGCTCCAGGAAGGCCACACTGACCAGCTCCTTGGCTTCCCCCTCCCTGTCTCCATGTGCAGGCCCAGCATGGACACCTCCCCGCTAGGCTGTGTGCAGGGGGCCAGGTTAACCCATGTAAAGTGCTCAGAGCAGAGTTGGCATGAGGCAGCCCAACATCAATGCCAGTGGCAGATGTGGCCCAGTCCTGGCCTCAGATTCAGGGACCCCTGGGGGTCAGACCTCCCCCAGAGGCTGTGGGCCCAGACCACACAGGCCTGAACCTTCAGCACACAGGGCCCTTTGTGAGGGATCCCCAGATGCCCTGGGCATCAGGGGAGAGGGAATTCAGCAGTGACTCTGCTAAACAAGCCTGAAGACCAGCCTGGGACAGACGGACGGGGGCATTGACCAGAGAGCTTGGGACAGAGGGTGCCGACCAGAGAGCTGTACCTCAGGGTGAAGTCAAAGTGAAAGTGCCTTTTCCTTTTCAGAAAGCCACCAAAAGAGAAAACAGGGCCACGTTAAGGCGCCTCCCCGGGGGGCCCGGTGAGCCCTCCATGCATGGCAACAGGAGCTCTAGGGCCTGGAATCTGGGCAACTACCCGCCTCACTTGGGGGCAGCCGCTGGAGTGAGTTTGCAGGGGTGGCCATCCCCTCCACCAGGAAGTTCCGGAAGTGCTGGGCTCCACTGGAACGGGACCAGCCATCCCTACTGACCTCCCTGCACCTCCCAGACTTTAACTTCACTCTCCTTCGGTCTAAGGAAGGGGGCGAACACCCGTTAGAATCAGGGACTGCTACCTCTGCCCTTGGCTGAGGCTGGGTGCCTCTCTTCCACTCTTGGACAGGGCCCACTGACTGCCTCTGCTCCCCTCATCTGGTATGGGATAGCCTGTCCAGAGGCCTGGCCACAAGAGGGAGGTTCAGTCTTCTGAAACCACAGGAAAGCCTCTGCTTGTGCCTGACGAAGGGGCCCTGCCCAGGGCTACCCGGACCCATGGCACCTGGCCCAGGTTTTTACCCACAGCTCCTGGGGACTGTCATGCTCTGAGCTACAAGAACATGAGCTGACTGTTCCCCAACAGGCTGAGACCATGGTCCAGGGTCTCCAGCCCAGGTAGCCTAGGCCTAGGGTGGAAGATGTGTCAGGTCTGTAGGCTGAGCCACTTTGACAGCTGCCACCAGCTGCATCATGGGACACATCAATGGGCATAGAAATAAAGAGGTACTGAAAACCCAACCACTACTCTGGTCTGCACTGGGGTCAGTGGAGGGCCCTACAGTCTAGGCTCACCCAGGGGTTTTACCCCAGACCTCGTGGAGTCTGTCCYGGCCAAGGCCAGAGTGGGCAGGTAGCCATGGAGAAATGGCAGCTGGCAGTGACCTGTGTTGTGTGGTCAGGGGGTCCCCTGCTGCCCCAGGCCTGGGCCCACCGCATTACCTCTTCTGCTTGTAGGTCAGCATGGCCTCCGCAATAGGGAGCTGGTGGGCGCAGTTGGCCCCTGCGATGTACTGGGTGATGCGGGATACGATGTCTGGTGTGTCCTGCACTGCACGGGGAGGAGGCCATGGGTTGGTGCGGTGGGCCAGGTGGGTCAGGGTGGAGTCTGGGCAGGGACATGGGCACCTCTACTTTCCCACTGGCCACAACAGGCCCGAGTGCCCATCCACGGTGGTGCTGGGTCACATCCTCCACAAGCCCTGAAGGCGTGTTCCTAGGCCCTGTGCCCTCCCCTGCTGGCCACCTTGGCTTGGACTGGGGAGAGGGAAGCATCCTGGCAAGCCCCCTTACCCCGCCTGCTGTCCCTTTTCTGGGGCCAAGCTTGAGAAAGAGGTAGATATGAGGGGGGGTCTCCTGGAAGACCAGGAGCCCCTTCCTCAGGGAACGGGACTGTGGGTGCGAGCCCCGCCATAGGCACCACACTGGGCCTCACCTGTGCTCTGGGCCTCCAGCTTATTGAACAGGTCTCTSCAAGCCAGGTCCTGGAAGAAGTTGTGGTAGCGGTAGTCCACGGAGCCCAGGTACCTGGCCACAGGGTGGGAACC